TGCATCCAAAAGTTGTTCTTCCTGCTGCAAGACGGTCCACAAATAATATTATATTATTTATATTATATACCAGACATGCATGCTTTATTTATCATGGATAATGATTCTTCCCTCAGAATGAAGCTTCAGTTTACAGGCCTTCACTAGCCATGAGCACAGTACTGCACCACTACAGGCTGACTGCACAACTCCGAGAGAGAGGAGACAATTATAGTTTTTCAGTGTTTGACTCTTTCACAGAGTAGAAGTATAGTCAAGCACTAGAGTTTGATTTTTGTTTTTTGTCTTCATCTCATCGTTAATACAATCAGGCAGCCTTCCAGAACTCTATTTGCACAAGCACATGCATGCCAACTGGTGTGTTTGTTACTGTCGCCCCAAAACCATCCCGATCTAATCTTTGAGAATCTGAAAAAAATAATGGTGGAAGAAATGAGATTAGACAAAAAGGAAAGAATCAGATAAACAGAAGGGAGTGAAAGTTTTTCAGAGGACTTTTTGGAATGGAATGTTCGGCAGTGCGACGACAGAAGCAATCTGATGAACAGGAGAGGCTTTTTTCTGCCTCTTGGGTTGATGTAATCCATCTCTTGTCTCTCTCCTCCTGTCTAGACCAGGACACTTGTTGAGCAGCTGTCCCCTCTGCCTGAACTCTGAGTGGTTGTCTGGACGTCTGGCCTCAGATAGAGGGGCACCGACATGATCACAGACGTGTGTCGGGCCAGACAGATCAAAATGCAGGATTTACTCACTGAGTGTCTCTGTAATGGAAGCATGTTTTCAGCTGTTGAACAGATGTGTAAAAAGAGAAGATTCATTATAATGTTACTACCTTTACCTCAGCACAGAGGACAGTATGAGGATACACTTACCTGTGTCTGGTATGAGATCAAACACAGACAGCTCCATATGTTGTAGTATAGAAGTGTACTTCTGGTACTTAACTTCATGGTGTAGTAAAGTATTTAATATCTTAGCTATCGAATTCTAAGCACTTTTTGTCTTGACCCCCTGTATTACATCTCTGGACGTGTTTATGTGGAAGCGCTGCCATGTAAACAGCATTTTCTGATATAAGGTTATATTCGGAATAAGCCATAATGTAATTAATATATGTGCAGTTTCCCTACCTTAGTCACATTATGTAGAAATGTAGTTAATTTAATTGGATGTATTGGAGATTTCACAGCATTTCGGTTTGGAGTGTAAACAAGAAAATAACGTTGTGCATTAAACTATCTCAGATTGTGGTTTTAAAATTCTGGCAGGAACATTAGACGTGACGCAGTGGATGTTATGTTGGTAGAGTAATAATCAGACTATGCTCTGTAGCATGCAAGAAGGGATATGAAGGGATTTTTCTATTAGCAACTCATGCAAACATCATATTCAGAGTAATGAATAAGAATACTCAGACTATTGGCGTCTATGTAAAGTCGGTGCCTGTTGTTAAAGGAGCATTTGAAACTTAATATGTCCAATTGCTGATGCATATAATGTTTTTAGGAGGTGGACATTATTTTTATATTTCAAGCTCAATAACTGCATATTAATTATATTTTCCGAACAATGCAGGATGCTCTGTAGAGTTGGGCTTGAGTTTAATTTAGTCCCTGCTCATACCAAACATCCAACAACAAAAAAAAACCCTGTTTAATTATTCTGCCTAATTGGTGAAACCTGATATAGACATATTTCTCTCCGAGAAGATTTTGTTTTTCCCAAGGAAATGAAATGAAGAATTCCAACTGGATAGCGATAAACATTATTTATATGAATCTTACAAATGGCTGTTTTAAGACATTTCTTGTTCTGTTCATGTTCTGCAGGAAATTGCTACGTTTGTTTTCCATGGTTCCGTACAGTATATGGCGTGACTGTACGTGTGCCTTGTTGAATAGTAATTTAAACCTAAATCTTTGATGTTGACGGGATTGCATCATATAATGTCTGAAGATTTGTCAGCTGGACATTTGTGCTGGAAATCTCCTGTTACACAACATCTCAAAGATGTTCTATTGGATTCAGAGCCGATGGAGAGGGAAGCCACTGAAGTTCACTGATCTCAATCTGAGTGTGTAGTTTGAAGAAAATGGCTGAACATGCAATGATCATGAAGAAGAACCCATTCAAATCCTCCTGAGGCCATTCCTGTGGAGTATATTTCAGAGTGAGATGGTGATGCGACATGTTAAGCACTGTGCGTCCTGCATTATGTCTTCACTCAGCATAAACACAGACAATAACCTCGAAGCTGAGATCACTGGCCAGAGATCAAACAGAGAGTGATGTGGCCTTCACTTTAAAAGCTAAAATCAAAGTGTTTGTCACTCAAGGAAAAAAAGAATTGTTGTTCTTTTTCTTTAAAAGGTTACATCTTCATTTGCCAATAAAGTTTTTTATTAATACTCCTCTCTGTAATTGTAGCAGTTAATTAGCTACAAATACATTCAGCTGAAAGAACGTCATGTTTCCCCCCCTTCACAATAAATGTCCACCGCACCAGTGTTATTTCTCAAATGCAGCCTTAGAAAAAATTCCTCAAGAGTCTTATGCTTGTGATGTTTTAACCTTCACACTAATGGTCAAACGCAGCAGTATCAAACCAGCCACAGTGGTACAATAAGTAGCCACTCTATACTATAAACCTCCTGCTGAGATGTGTGCACTGCAGACGCAGTGTGTGTGTGTGTGTGTGTGTGTGTGAGACAGCAGTGTCTGCACTTCCATATGCCATTATGTACTTTCAACGTATTTCATTACTTAATTATGACTGAAATAAGCTGCTTTAATGAATAGTATATTAAAACTGTCTCACTTCTCCTTGTCCACAGTGAAGTTTGACGACTGCATGGGGAATGAAGCTGTGGTTTTTCAGAGCACTGACCCCATCTTCAGCGTGCGGACAGATGGGTCCATCTATGCCCGGGGAGCGGGAGCCAGCCTTGATGAACCGGTCCAGTTTAAACTGACAGCAAGTGGTCCGCAGACACACGTCTGGGAGACTGTGGTCCAACTGGCACTGATTGACCCACCACCACCACCGCCGTCTCCTCAGCAACATGAGAATGAGGTGAGTTATATGCATGGTGAGCACACACACAAACACAAATATCATGCTTCAAATTTCAATCATCGTCCCAGGGTTTTTTTCTCCTATCAAATTTTCTGCAGTGGTGCGGTGACAGAAAAAGCCAAGAATCAGGTCAAAACTCCTCGGGGTTTTAGAGAGTGAGAGGCAGCAAGAGAGAGATGTCGAGGAGCAGCGAGAAGTAGCAGTAGCACATGGTTAGAAGTGATAGGATCACACTGCCACAGGGGGAGGGTTTGATTCCCTCCAGCCATAAGCTGTTATTGGAAAACATCCTGTGCCCTGAATAACCCATGGGTCCTCAACTCTTACTCATCTATTTAAAAGCTCTCAGTGGCCAGACAGGGACTGAGCAGCCTGAACTCAACCCGTCCCCATGACAACAGACCCACAAAATACCTCATCTCATAGTCGATATCAGTGCCTGTTAATCAGATTGGGTAACAACAACACACATGATTAGGGGGCCATGTTCACCAACACTGTGTGAATCTGGCTCAGCTGAGGCAGGACGGGCTGAGACAGACGTATCACTTTCGAGACATAATGGATTCACCACGTCTTGTTAGGCAGCTTCGGTTTTTGTTTCAGATGTCACATCCTGGTCATTGCTGCCCCATGACATTTTTAAGCAATGCAAAATGGTTTGAAATTAACTTAGATAATGTTAAAACAATAATGCTGAGAGCAGTTATAATCAAATTCTGAGACATGAAAAGTTGATACTCGCGACAGAGCCACAAAGGGACCAGACTCTGCTGCTCCCTCAGCTCCACACAGACATCCATGGCTCCTGTATGGCTTCTTTCATTTTATTGTGTGGGTTTTGTGGCACACAACTTTAATGTTTTGATGAAGACTCAGCTTCCTCATAATGTTGCTTTTGGCTGCAGCAGCTCTAAAACCCCACTGCACACAACCTGGCCAGCTCCAGCAAACAAACCGAGTTTGCAGCCAGTTATTATAGAAGCAACAAACTCACTTTTATCCAGTGTTACCTTCAAATATGAGTTTATCCCAAAACCTGTGTATGGCAAAGAATTGAGATGCCAATGCTGGGAAGTAATGAAGGCCTCTCGTCATTTTTACAAATGCCTTCCAAATGCAGATTTTCAGAAACTCTGGTTTCTGTGTTTCTGTCTGAACATGAAAAATTGAGCATTTTTTAAATGTAGGGATTGAAAAAAATATATCTGCAGTATCGTAGACGAGGACTAAACATGAAATACATTGTTTTCTTTGCTTATTGACTGTTTTCCAGTTCATGGTGTTGGGTGGCTGCTTTCCACACTAGAGTTGAATGCTAAACCAGTCACTGTTTCAGGTAAATAAGAGAATAACAGAAAGAGTTTGACAGCATCTCAGTTACACTTCAGAAGCCATTTTGAGCTGCCCTGCCATCACTCGGTGATTCCTGACTTATTCATACCTCACAATAAACTGTGAAGTTAAGATTTATGTGTAAGCAAAAGATGAAAATAAATGGAATACAAAACTCCTCTGAAGGGTAGTTTAAATGATTGAAGAACTGACTTTTTATGACTTTTCCAAGTTGTTTAACTTTTTTGGAGTTTCTCAACTTTGAGTTCTGCCTCTTCAGACCATTTTAAACCTGAAAATGAATCGTTTTTAGCTGGATTTTCTATGTAGTGTGCATGGCCAGGAAACAGAATAGATGGCACAAATTCAGTCATACAATCTAAACACAAATAGAGAACCGGAGCCAACAAAGGATCTATTAGTCAGAGTGGGTGTAGGAGGGAGGATGTTGTTTTGGCTCTGAATTACTTGGCCTTCATTTTCACGCTTTTCTAATTTGGGTTCAAAAAGATTCCATGGTTAGCATGTATTTATGAAACCACAGTGTTTGAGGGTCAAATGCCCGGCCATTGAACTTCAGTTGCCTGTGTGAGACAGCTAATATAAAGACCCAGAGGTGTTCTGACCGGCCAAAAGTGAAAGAGTTAAACAGGGTCAGGGGTCAGAAACACGCTACGCAGCGGATCAAACGAGTGTGTGGCGAGGGGCGGCAGCAGAAAGCAGGGCGCTGAAACAAAATGTGTTGTTTCATTATGGAGATGGCGCTTTGTGGCGTGCTCTGCTGAATAATAACTTCCAGATGTCTGGGTAGCCGGGGGCTGGCTGATATCAAAGCATGCAGGGTTTTAGGGAGGCAGTAGCATGGAGGGGTAGAGCCGGGACCACCGCCAGCTGGCTAAGGCTGATGGCACCAGGGTTGGGGGGGCTGCATCCATTTCACACTCAGTGACTCCTGTTCACATAGTGTTAGTGTGCTTAAGCATGTGTGTGTGTCTGGTGTGGTTGTGTGTGTGTGCACACAAGAGTGATATTTTTTTTTTTTGAGAGATTATGTTGGATCAAGTGTGAATTATGCTAAATATGCAGAACATTTTAATTAATGTGAATGGTGTATGTGTGGTTGTGTCTTTGTTGAGGCTTTAAAGCGTCTGTATGTTTAGAGCCCATTGGTTTAATCTGTGCATGTCAAAAAGTGTTTGTGCCCACTCTGAGTGGGATTATAGGAAATAACACGACCTTTAAATCTCTGGAATCGGTAAAGCTGTTAAAAAAATAGTTTGCTTGTGCTCCTTATCCTCCATCTTTTATAATAGTTTGAATAAGCGGGCAGACAACGCTGCTTAACCTGTTGCATAATCAATTTCATCGCCTCCCCGTGCTTCCGCTCTGTCTGTGTGAGTGTGAATTAGAAAGAGTGAAGCAGTGTTCAGAATCGCTCCATGGCCAGAGACAAGCCCTCTTAAGCCTTTTGCAGCAGTGATGGGCACAGATCTTTCTCCACCTCTGTGTCTCTGTCTTTTTTTTTTTCTTTCTCTCAATCCTTTCCTTTCTGCATCTCTCCTCAGGGAACTCGCTAGTACCTGTTAGCATGTGCAGATAAAAGGATCTGGAGCATGACTTATTTAGGAGGGGGTGGGGGGGGACACATCTGCTTCTGACAGCCTTCCCCCCCTCACTCCATCCCAAACATGTCTCGCTCCACCTCTGCCGCCCCCCGCCACACTGGCAGGATGTGGGGCAGCCATCCCATGCAGTCAGCCCCACTAAGCCTCCCTCCTTCTGAAGAAAAAGAATACATTTGTCCAAAATCAGCTCACATCTGTCTCTTCCCGCTCTGCTGACAAACACTGTTTGCGCACACAGGCATGTTGCACTTGGCAGAGACTGGTCCTCTGAATATGGACTGAATGCAAAGGATCCCTGCGCATGTGTCAGTGACCTTGTAGCACAGTACAATGAATATACACCATGCTGGACTTTCTCTATAGGGACTAGAAACACAGAACAAGAGGAGGAGTGCTTGTGCTTTTTGGGGCCATGAGTTTGAGAGCAAGCTCCTCGGGCTCATTAGGATGTCTGTATCAGGGGGTAGAGCTCCTCTAGTGGCCAAATGAGGACATGCTACTACCCTTGTGTTTTTTTTTTTATCATTTAAAGCACTTTGATATAAATGGTGCTAACAAATAAACCTCACGACTCAATTTATAATACACTTGATCTTTGCAGTTAATTAACTGTTCAAATAGTTGAGTCAAATTTGAATCTGGACCCTGGAAACCACTTGATTTAAAGATGCACAGATTGTTTTGTTGAATTTTCCCACACTTTCTAGCTTTTCAATTAAATATTGTTTAGGCTGCTATTATAGAATCTACTGTATCGTCTATATTCATACCAAGTCACATGACTAAGTGATAGGTGTCACTCATCATGATGAAGTCACAGAGAGCTTATTTTAGAACTGTTTAGAACTTATGTTTATGTTTTGACACTTTGCCTCAGTGTCGGTGTAGGTGGTTTGCACAACTTTCAGATACAAGCAAATGTCTGATACAACCACATAACGCAATGAACAGGAACACGAAACAGGATAAAAAGTGAGTGACAAGTTGAATTAACATAGTGGAGCTTTTAAAAGGCCAGATATTTCCCTCTTGAGTGGTCGGGGACCAGAAGCAGAGCTAAAACGAGTCCAAATCTCAATTCGTGCAGCCTGCTTGATTTGTAAATAGATTGTTGTTTGCTATCAGCCTAAACGATGACGACATGTCAGAGTTGTGTTCACAGGTTGTCTCCACTGCCCTAAGTAGAGACTATTTTCTCCTACTATAGCACATACCTCGACCTCGTGAGTGTTGCCCTGCACTGCAGAGTACATGTCTGAAATAAAGCGCTTGTTTGATGACACTCAACACCTTGCCCATGCCGCTCCGCAAACCCACACCCCAGCCCGCCCACTCAAACACATACAGCACATACCATATGCCAGGTTGCTTGACAGATTTCCTTTAAAGCAGCCTTAAAAGCTTTTCTCCTGGGTGTCCGTCTAATGAAGTCAGCCTTGAAAGCATTGTTTCCGCTGGCAGATACAAGCCAACTCTCTGAGGGACCTTGACCAGGCAAGAACAGAGACAAAGAGAAAACAGTTTTTATAGACTGCATTGTACAGAAACCTCAACTTTCAATATGTGCCAGAAGCCATTGCCATCTTCCAACACTGTAGCCTGCCTATGTATTGTATTTTATTTTTATTCTCAAATGTCAGCTGCTCGGCAGGGAACTGTACGGGTACATACTGCACATGAGTAATGGAAAATGAAAAACTGGAAGAAGTATTAAAAACACTGGCCTCTTTATATGTAAATATATGGTGATTGAACCTCTTTTTCTTATGCTCCTGAATTTACAAGCCCAGATTTTTCTTGTTTTCTGGCATGGACGCCCAACCACTCGCACACAGACACACACGCATCCACACATACAGACGTTGAGCAAACACACAGACATAGAGCATGCACATATATTCTCCTCTCTGCCTGCGTTGTTTTTCTTTACCATAATAAAACGAAACCGTTTTTTCTCTATCTCTTGTGAGTGGTTTCCAATTTCGATTGTTTTATGTTTTTCTTTTCCATCACTCTCTATCTTGCAACGCTTTTCATTCTCTTTTTGCACAGTGAGGCTGCGCAGATACATCAAGACTACTATATTCTTCACTTTGAGTGCTGCCCTTTTTTCAGCATTTGATTAAAAAGTGCAGAAATGTGTAGTTTTTCATACTGGGGCCAACCCCTTGCTCGTATTGTCAGATGTAACTATAAATCACTTCTGCTCCACCCATTGATTTAAGACCCACAGCCACTCACATAATCAAATACATAGACTGCACACTCCTTTGGTCAACTAGAAGAGAAATGATAACTGGAGAAATGTTTAATAGAACACAGTTGAGAGTAAAAAGTAATTCAAATGGTGCTGCTGCTTAAGTTTTACAGGAAAGAGGAAAATAAGACATGTATTTTAAATTACCCTTTGTGTTGTGTCCTGGTAATTCATTTACATTACATGTGCATAAAAACCTAATATTGTTTTACCTTTCTCCCTCTACTTTTAAAAGAAGTATAGATCTTTTACTCAAAAGGCTGCAGTAGTGGCAGCGATGTGATCGTGGTTGCTGGTTTCATTTTCAGAGTTTTTACACTCGTATCTTACAGAATAATATATGTTACTATGTTTTCAAAGCCATCTAAGAAAACAGCCCATCTTGTATCTCTCATTGATGGTAAAACACACTTCTGTACTATATTTCTCCACCTGGCACTTCCCCAGACACAAAACAGGGCTGCATAAAAAGAACCACTATTTGAATGCAGAGTCCACATTCCTGCAACGTCTCGTTCTGAAGGATGCGCTGATGTTTTCGGTTGACTAGGTTTTGAATTAATACGGCTGTGTTCACTGCTATTTTGACAACCCTTTTAAACCTCTCCCTATTTTACCCTCGTATTTCATTTGCAGCCCTACACATTTAAATGTTTATCTAAATGGGGTCGTGAACTGATCTCATTGGACGAGCCTGCATGAGTAAAGGTTGAATGAATGAATGGATGGAAATATTATTTAATTCCTGCCCCGGAGGCAGACATGACAGAGGCACGAATTGTGAATGTAGAAATGTTTGGAATAGTTGAACTTATCTGCTGCTGTTTTACCTTCTGGTGCACCATCACTTGAGCACAGCCCTGGTGCATGAGGAATCGCTGTTATTGAGACGAGTTGTCAGCACTGACTGGGAGGAGAGATGGAGGAAAAACAATAACAGTGGAAGAGAAGGGCAGGATCGAGCACAGGAGCAAGGGATAGCTCAGGGAAATGTGATTGAGAACGAGAGTGCAACTGATGCATTGCTTCAGCAAAGATGTTCGTGACTGAATTCTTGACATGTTTTTTCAGGCTCGTAACCTTGAGATATGTTGGTAAACTTTCTGTAGAAAAACTCTCTGGAATGTCAATTTAATATAACCTTTATATATCAATATACTGCACATCTATTGCTGCCCCTGGGACACAAAGCATGGTAGTTAAGAAATGAGCCTGGTGAAATGGTGGACCCTTCCTAACCTTGACGTAGAGGTGTAAATATGTCTAATATACTCGAGCGTTAGAAGCAACATCTGATTATCTACACTCGGTTGCCCTAGGCTACACAATTAAAGCTCTCTTGCTGTATTTTCAATGACTTTTGTTTGTTTCTACCCACCCTGGAAGCATCTATAATGACTCAGATTCCCTGTAGTTTCTGTTGATGTATTTTGCAGCATCTCCACAGAAGGACGTTATGTTAAGTCGGTGATGTGCTTGATATTTTCAGGATTTGTTGTAGCTCCTGTGACTCACGGGTGAGTTAATGTTCATGAGGAGGTTGAAAATGGGCTCCTTATTTGAGCATCTTTCAAAAAGACAGGTTTGTGGTGGTAATTTCTCTCTGGCTGCAGGGAGTGTATGAGGGAAGTGTATGACGGGAGAATACTGTATGATTGAAGTATGTGTCTATGATTCAGCTGTCACTGTCTATTGAGAGGGGCTGTAAATCCAGCCTGAGACTTGATCTCTTTTAATAGGATTTTTATAGTCGGTGTAAATGACAAAGTCTGAAGTTTATGATCTCTTTCCTAAATATATATATATATATATATTTATATATGTGCACATGCACACATAGAGATAATTCAGATTTTGCCTGTGCACTCACACGTGACAGTTCTGTGCTGCTCAGGTCTGATGCACGATGACACAAATTAAATCGATAAGAGCATCATTTGATACAACACATAGTGTTTGTTGTTTATTTGGCACAATACAAGCAGTAGATGTTATGCCTTGAGGAACCGAGGCTTCCCATTTCAGCTGTGCAGCATTTTTCCACTTCCATGCTGCTTTGTTTGAGATGTTTTACCCAGTCAGAGCTGCAGAGTGGGTGCAAATAACTGAGCTTTTCAGTGAGTTTGTAGCTTATTTCCGATATCACATTCAACAACAGAGAAGGTTCAGACCTTGAATTGAAACCAAAATGTTCCAACGCTGCTGACTTGAATGTGCCGGAGGGGTCTGTGGTATTAGTATTCATCATTCAGCTAATTAAACTAGCCTAAGATTTGCTACAGGCAAAATCACTCAATCACGATAGGACCAAAAAAGTCATGTGACACATTAATTTAGAAAACAATAACGCAGGTGTAATGTGTGAGACTTGCTCTAACTTTACAAAGAATAATACTTATTGATTTACATCTGTTCAAGTGTGAACTGAAATACTTGTTTTTCAAAGTATTGAGAACTGAAGGCAGCGGGTTGGGGCGTCTTGTATTCTGATACAAGTGTGTGTACATTTGTACCATATTAAGTTCTTGTTTTCAGAACTTAGAAAGTACACCAGTAAAACTGAGTTACTTTAATTCATTTTCTTATTGCCATGTAGTTCCAGCTAATAGAACACAAATATGAAAGTATCATTAAATAACCTTTCTCCATTTGTTGCCTTCAGCATTTGAGAAGCTCCCATTTGACTCCAAAGCATCATTATCATACAGAATAGTCTATTTACTACAAACACAAATTTCCAATCTTTTGTTTTTGTTTTTCTTTTCTGGTGTGTGACTAATATTAGAGAGGATGTTTTTCGGGAATATAAAACTGTTCTTAATTAATGTTCCAGTCACAGTTTGCTCTGAAAATGATAATTAGGTTGAATGTAGAGTTTCTCATCTTCGAGCAGAATGAGTGAATGTGTCTGGGAGTTGGTTCTATTAGATCTTTCAAATACAGGGTGTACACTGTGCACTTTTGTTTCCATAGTAACACCATGCATTCCCTTCAGCTGTAGAGACAACAGAAATACTATAGGCTACAGAGACATACATGTCTAATGCAGATGCACTATTAACAGGAGAATCTGTACAGATGCCTTTCATGATGCAGTTGGAGGTCAGCCAGGTGCCTTCTATACACTCCTCACTCCAGTTATTGTCAGACCAAATATATCTACCTGAAGATGGTTCCCTGAATTATACACCTGTTCACCAGCAATGAACAAACTCACAGTTTCTTTATTTAAGTATGTATCCTATGTGGCTGCGCGATGAGATGAGAGAACGTGGAGACTTCATGGTGCCGGTTTTTAATATGATCCGATGTAGTCAGCAGCCAGAGTTTGAGTTCTGCTGCATTAGAGATACAGATCTGACTTCTCTACAGCACTAATCACTCAGCATGCGAATGAACCTGAACACAAAGACCTAGTGCTAAAAATCTCAATGAATTCCCACATCACAAATGCTTGAGATGTGTTTGTGATTTTTACCTGATTCACAAGCCTTGAATGTTTTGTTTTTCTTGCTGTTCATTGAATTTCTGCATCGAGACTGAAAAAGACATCAATTACTGTTTTCATAAACAGCACATCCTGCCTGCTAAGTAAAGCCTTTTGTTGTTTTAAAGGTCACAAAGCAAGACGGAAAAGTCGCTGAGAGAAAAGAGAAGAAAGACGAGTTCCAGGCCCCACCTCCTGTCATCATGTTCTCGGGGACTGGCCTGAACAGCTCCAAGGGTCTGCGGCGGCAGAAGAGGGACTGGGTGATCCCACCAATCAACGTGGCAGAAAATTCTCGAGGACCGTTCCCTCAGATGCTCGTCAGCGTAAGTGACAGATTTGATGGGCCGCATCGCTGATTTGTTCTGAATTTACAGCTGGGATGTCTTGAGGGCACTTCACGGCTAATGCTGATTGGGGACGTGTGATGGACTTTGATATTGAACAAAAGTGCATTAGCATAACTGGTTTGTTCTCCACATCCCCCTGATGTAATTATAGCCACAAAACTCTTAAGGTATTCAAACAGCCCCTGATTGTCCCTGAGAAGTTCCCCCGTCATTCATAGACCCGGGCTCCAGCGGAATTCTCCCACAGTGTGAGGTCCGTCGGGTTCACGGTGAAACAAATGATTATTTCTGCTCTTTTGTGCATCTTTTCTTTCCTTTATCAGGCCGTTTCAGAAAGGTTGCACGAAGTTCAATTCCATTTTTATAGCTGCTCCATAACAATACAATTTGTCACAGGATCTTTACTGAAGCCATAACTCTGGGCCTCCAGTGAGATATAGAGAGAAAGTATGAAAAGCTGCTGTTCTCTGGCTCAAAAGAGCAGGACAGTGGTTCATTCCTCTGTGCCCCCGTAAGGACATTAAAACTGAAATAAATCACAGGTAACAACATGACAAAGGACCCGACTGCATCCTCTCCCTGCACGTGTGTCCCTGTGTGCATCCATGTCTACACAGAACAGGGAATTTACAAGTAGCGACACCTCAGCTGCTGGCGTCTATAAACATTGTTCCACAAACCGGCTCTCATTTAGCTTTCAAGATTGTAATGTGGCGACAACGACTGACTTTTATCTCAGCAAATTTCACTTCTTCAAAACTGCTAGTTTTGATTTGTGCAAAAATATAAATACGACATGGTGAAGGTTCGTGGCTGAGAAAAAAAAACTGTAAATAAAGGTTTGTAAATGTGTTGCAATGTGAAAAGCATGAGCTGCACAGTGCTTAAAATTCAGAGGTTCAGTCATAACAGAAAGTGCAGTTTGTCTCTCTCGTAGAGAACCTCTAGACTCTAAGCTTGTGGTGCACGCTGTAATTCATCAAAAACCATCATTCCTGGAGACCGCTGCTTTTCCCTGCTCCCACTTTCCTTCCCTCCTTTATCTGGAATATGTAGCCATCAGCTTTTCCTCGCTGTTTACAAAACTCTCACAGTTTATCTCTTTTGGGTCTTAAATTGTGCAAAAGAGGCAGTTATTTCTTCCTCTGTTTTTTTTCTCCTTTGTTTCTGTTCTTTGTTTTTCAGCCGGGTTTCATCCAATCCCCAGGGAAATGCCCGAGGAGCTGCTTGAGGGAAACTTTTTTTTTTTTYTTTTTTTTTTTTTGTGAAACAAAAACATCAAGTGAAAGAGAAGAGAGTTTGTAGGTCTTTGTATTTGGAGTTGAAGTGGGTCTGCAGCTGGAACGCATCCCATCAACCTGGCACAGTGTGGTATTCTTTCCTTGAGCCCGTTGAGCCCTTCAGAAGTGCTACACCCAGCCGTAAACCGGCCAGACGGTTCGGCTGTTATTGCGGTTGGGTCAGAACCAGGGAACCACGGAGGGAACAAAGCCTGGCAAAGACGAATCAAAGGAACATTTGGAAGTATAGTGAGCTACCAAAACAATCCACTTTGTGCAGTAAATAGGTCCGTCAGGGGCTTGTGGATTGCTGAGAGTGGAGAGTTCAGAGCAAAAGGAGAAGTGATGCGTGTTGATGCCTCTGTCGGGCTCTCAGGTTCCCGTCTTTCTCTTTAATGATGACTGGAGGGCAGGCAGGGCCAGACTGAGAAGTAGTGATTTTAACAAGGAGACAGCCCTGGGGGATGAATGGCATGTGGATGATTTTGCTTTACTTGTTGTTTATGTGTTTAGTCCAGTTTTATAACCTCGTTGCTCTTCGTTTGAAAATTGAGTCTCATGTGCATCTGTTTCAATTCCCTCAATTAAAAATTGACTCAAAACAACAACAAAATCCAAGCAAAGGTGAAAACATATTTTGAAAACGTTAATTGCTATTTTAATTATGATATGAACCATGTTTCAAAACAGAGCGTACAGTGTTTCTGTGTGACGCTCAGTGCTTCATGTGCTTCGGTTGTGTGATGGCTCCCCTAATGGCCTGTGATGTCAGTCCCAATCCTAATGGGCCGTCCTGTCATCCGGCAGAGCAGTGAGTGACATGCAGACAGCGGCCTTACTCACCATCCCACCGCTTTCCTGCCTGCCCTGACCAAGTTGCCATCAGTTGGACAGTCGGGGTGACAGCAGCCCTCACCTGCATCTCCGCAGGTCGGCAGCACTGTCGCTTTGATCAGGCCGGCACAGGATCGGGCAGGTGTCAGGACAGAGGCCCCACTGACTGGCCCCTGAGCTCGTAGCCTGACATGGCTCGAGGGAGATGTTGACTGCTCCGGTGAAGTCATGGCAGAACTGCACTCCCATCGCGCTCTAAAGCCAAGATGGTGTCAAAGCTCAAAGCGAAATTATATTGACTCATTTATTTTTTTATTTATTAATAGCAGTTCTGAAATAATTGCATCAAGTTGCAGTGTGCTAATGCAACTCTAAGGGTTAATATTAAGCCTTGCTGTCCTGGATGTAGCAGTTTCACCACTGCAATGGTCCGTTATAATAATTGACAATGAGTAGGGTATAAAGTGTACCAAAAAATGAAAATGCTAAGAAAGCAATAGAGGGGAAACAGAATCACTAGACTGTTCTAGAGAAAACAAAGGGAAGAAGAGATCCAGAACGACTAAAACAAAGGGTGCGAGGAGTCATTTTTCACAATAAACAGGTGTTCTGTGTCGTTCTCTTTCTTCTGCAGCCAAACAGCCATCAATAGCATGTAAGGGACATCGATTATTCACAGAGGCTTTTTGAAACCTTGCATTGATCCGCACACTTCTCCTACGGCTGAGACACATCGATTTCTTTTGCTCGGGTAAATAAAGACTCAGCGTAGCCATCCCCCTCCACCACTCAGCTCCCTTAACCCCCTATTAGAACAAGTGTCAGCAGAAAAAAATAGCAAAACCTTGATGAAACAACTATTTAGCCAAGGAACAATATGAGAGTGAATAAATGTTTGTCCCGTTAACCACCTTTGTCATTTTACTGTTCGCTGACTCTGGTCTGTGAGAGAATATGAGAGTGTGAGATGTGGTTTTGTCGCGTAGGAAGTCCAAATGCAGAGGATGTCATGGTATCATTGTTATCAGACTATTTATATCAAACCATAAATTGGCAAGCATGAACATGGAGGGCTGGGTGAAGTGTTTGAGTCCACAAAACACTTTTGGAGATCCGGGGGAAAGCTGCATTGCAGCCAATTCCAATATAATTGAAGTAAATGGCGACCACTTCTTCCTACGTAAAAAAATCTACATAAAAAACATAAAATGCCTCCATACTTGTCCTGTGGTTTCATCCTGTTCATTCAAATTCAACTCGAAACGAGTACATTTTCATGTTGTTGGCTCAAATGTCATAGGAGGATAACAGCAATTATTAACAGTTAATACAATCTGATCTTTTCTCCCACGGGAATAGTTAATCGTTCCGACAATTATTCCTCACAGGCTCTTTTTCCCTCTTTATTCTCACCATCAATTCTCTGGTAATTTTCTTAATATAATAAAAACACTTAAGTGCTTTCTATAACAGAAATATGATTTTGACAAAGAAGACATTCATTTTAGAGCTTGGATTAAGGGACGTGAAAATCCCTGCAACTTCAGCTAAACTGTTGCTTTATTGGATAATATGTCTTTCGTTCTTATCTCCCCACCTGCTGCGTGTCCTTGAGACACAGAAGCCAGATATTCTGATAAAGTGCGGCTCCACTTTTCAGTAATCACGAGGCATTATATTGACAGGAATACCATAGAGTGAAAAAGCAGCGGTGAGAGCAATAAGCTAAATAAATGGGTACTTGTCTAAATCCCTGTATTGATTGATGTGAAGAGAGAGGGTTTTTTTTTAAATATCCTGCACTTTTATCGACGAGCCATTTGTATGTGTTATTTGTTGTCTGTATTTACTTCCTGGTTGCAGCTTTGAAGCCAGCATGTTAAGCATTTGCATCTTATTCAGTGTGCGTTGCAGTGCATCTGCTCATGTTTGTTGTACTCGCTGCAGCACCTGTGCTCCACTTTCCACATCTTTCTCCATCGAGCATGTTGCGAAAAGCATCTTTTGAGCAGAATGAGAGAACTCCCCCCCTGAGGTGTCTGCTTTCTCCTCCGTGTACGTTTACTGGTGATTAATGACTGCTCCACTTCACTGACAGACACGGCAACAACAAAAACAACAGAAAGAAAAGAAGGAACAAAAAAGCAACATACTGTACAAGTGAGCTGGAGCTTATTGAATTGGAGAATTTGGGGGGGGGGGGGCACAAAGGGTTGGGTATGATTGAGAAAAAGAGAGAGCAACAGAGAGAAAGAAAAGGAGCAAGAGACGGGAATGTAGGGCTAGACCAGGATTAGAGGCTCGTCTGTGTTTGTGTTTAGGTCTGATAGACTTCCCAGAGAAATGCCATTCACCGCCTCCTCCCTCGAGTCTAATGAAGCCTTCTGGCATCTGCCACCCCACCACCCGGCCAACACCAGCACTGCACAGCCCAAGTCTGCCCGCTTCATCCCCCCCCCGCTGAGACAAATTCACACACGCTCGATGACAAACATACACATATACATATGCATACACTGGCACAGAGAGAAATTACTTGTCCTACACAGGCGACAAATAAAGGTTCTGTAAAGCGTATGTGCTGCGTTGTTGCCTTTGTCAATGCTCATTGTTCAGGGTTTTGTTTGTTCGCATTTCTGCTTTATCCCTGAACAAAGAGGAGAAAAAGCTAAGCTAGAAAAATAGGACTCCATAGTGTGTGTGCGTGTGTGTGTGTGTGTGTATTTCTTTTTAACCTAGTCGACCAGAGAAGCCACAGGATGGTGAAATGCTGGGATGTGAGTATTTAAGGATCACAGACCAATCCAGAGCTCGGTCACTGGGAAACCACATCGCTGCCCATATGGAACGTTTTATGAATGT